CCCCATATAACCCCAAGGTGGAGAAATAAACTACTTCATCAAGAAATGTCTAAAAACCAAATTCCAAAGGAAAGTAATGACATTTTATGATAAACCTTACCTGACACAAACTTGTATCACAGAGCTGATTTTTAATTAATCGGTGTAGTTCATTAAGGTGGAATTCAACTACCAGATAATCTTTCTTATTATCTTGCCAGGTCATCATCTGTTTCTGATATTTTATGTATGATAGGCAGGTGTTCATGTCTTACTAATGTGAGTACGTTAAGGAATTTTGGTTCAAAAACCGTTAAATAGTTCATAAAACATTCCATGAATGATTTAACTGGAGATTCAAATGGTAATGTGCTGGGATCTTAGCTGTATTTACTTATCCTGGTGATTACATTAGAAAGGATGTTGTTCTTGACGTAGATTGGAGTTGACTTTCAAATATTCTTTCCATGATTTGATATAAAGTTGCTATCAAAGTTGATTGGAAATAAATCAGTTAAGGTGGAATACCTCTTGCATATGGCATTTAAAGAAAAAGGCAAAGTTCATTGACACTTAGACTGGGTTCCAATACCTAGGTGGATCTAACAGGATCGATCCATCTTCAATGGTTTACGCTAAATGGCTTTCAGCTTAAGTGGCTTAAATGTCTGCTAAACGATAATTAATTACCCCCTAGCAGTTTCAGTAGGAAGGACAGACATCTAAACTGCTCAAGTTGATTGCAATTTAGTGAGAAATCCCGTTAGAGATAGATCGATCCACAGTTAGTATGATAGAGTCTGGGAATGGTCCCTTAGTTCAGTGTCCTTCCAAAGACAATTTTCTTTCTCTTATTGCAAAGCCTCAGTAGATGGTTTTCTCCATGCTTAAATTTCAGATTGTATTAGCCTTTGAGAAAATATGATTTCATTAAGAAAGGATATTTGCAACTAACTTGTTACATTACTCCCTTATAATACAGTAGGTCAATGTCTTTCAAAAATGATAATGAGATGAGATGGAAGTTATGTGACCAAAATGGCTAAGTAAGGTAAATAAGTCTGAAGTTGGCTAAAGATAAGATGCTGGTAAAAATGTATATCTTTTCTTCTCTCTTTAGTTGTAAAAGATAGTGAATTGGAGGGGAGGAGGGGGGTCTTCACTAAATTTTGGTCTGTAAGGTTAATAAAGAGCACACGCCCCGAGAATCAATGACCTTTGCTTCCCTCCATTCAGCCAGAGATGAAGAGTGAAATATTCAATAAAGCACAGTTCCACGCCTTGTCCACTGTTTGACAAATCAATACTCCTGTATTGTTTTTCAGGCTGGTAAAGGTTTGCTACAAGCCCAACAGATTGTCAATTACACACATTACTTTGTATATTGAACCGTTTGCCAAAGCTGTGTGAGAAACTTCATAAAATGATCATTTCTTAGGTTCATGGTGGCCTTATCCTTTGTATTTTTATAATGCATAATTAACAGTCTACAGTCGTTTGAACAAAAGTAGGAAAACCCTTAATATTGAAAAGATCAAAGGATGGTAAAGTTTACTGGTTATTAGGTGCTATGATTGAAAATGACAATAATGCAAGAAGTTGAGAGGTAATTTCAGAATAACAGATTAATAAGAACACTGGGCGGTGTGCTAGTCTAAGGACTTACAAAAACCTCAGAAAAGTAGGTTCAATAAATACGATGCTTTCAAGAACTTAGTCCATTTTGACTTTTTTTTCATCACATTGAAGAGAACTTCTCTTATCAGTCAAAGATGTAAGATAATTTGAGAAAAATACTAATATCGTGAAGAAAGTAGAGGATGATGTTCGTTCACTCTGTGAAGGAGTGACATAATAGAATAATGTAGTATTAATTGTAACTGAATCATTAATGATCTTTTTTTTTCTAATGAAATATGTGCATATCTGAATGTCTTTCCATTCAGAGCAAATACTACAAGTTTTCACTTCAATTCCTTCAAGTTGCATTCGTTCTCTGGTGTAGAAATTCCAATAAGATTTTAGCTGCTTTTGACTAAAACATTTTAGCTTATGAATCAAAGGAAATATTCACTAATATAGTAGGCAGGGAATGTATAGCATATTTTTCATCTTTCACAAGCAGTGTGCAAATACTACAAGTTTCCACTTCAATTCCTTGAAGTTGCATGGGAAAACCTGGAAAGTGCATCAAATTATGTTGCATGTCACAAGTCTCTTAGACAGTTATTGTAAGGATCTAGATTGTAATAAGTTTGATTGTTTTAGCTGTGGTATTGTAAACAGTAGAATTAAGGTGATAAAAGCTAAAAACACTGCTTGCGAAAGATGAAAAATACGCTATACATTCCCTGCCTACTATATTAGTGAATATTTCCTTTGATTCATAAGCTTAAATGTTTTAATCAAAAGTAGCTAAAATCTTATTGGAATTTCTACACCAGAGAACGAACGAACCTTTGGAATATTACAGCTAAGTATGAGGAGACTGCTACTAGTAAAATCTCAGTTTGAGTTATTTGTATATAAACATTTTCATATCTCTAAATATGTCACTTATAAATGGCTATCTTTGTGTAAACTAGGGCTTGTATCTGTTTTCAGTCTGATAGGAGATCCTGTACAAAGAGCAAGAGGGGTGAACTCTTCAACTATTAAGTACTCCCAGTAGGTAGTCAGTCCCGAAATTTACCTTCACATGGAGAAATCATGAAATGATCTGTTTATTTTATTTATTTATTTATTTATTTATTTATTTATTTATTTATTTTTATTATTTTTTTTTTTTACATTTGAACAGGGTTGCATTTAATCCATTTTAATAAAGACAAAGAAGAGTCAAAGAAGTCTGTTATGTAACACTCAGTTTTTAACCAATGGCAGTCTGCCACTTGAGAGAAGTATATTAACTGGGTGTGCAGGTGGCCAGAGGGAGAGAAACCTTAGTGTCTACTGACATCACCTGACTTGTACCCTGAGTGTCAGAGACTAAATGCAGGTGCTACAAATGAATTAGGTGTTTACTAACACCACACACAGATGTTTTAGTACTAGTGCCCATATTAACCATAAGACCCTGGAATTAACCAATACATCATACAATTATTTAGAAGCAACTAAGCGATACCTTAGCACTAACATCCGTTCTGGTAGTGCTGGTTAATTTTTGGGTTATGTGGTTAATATGGGTGTTAGTGCTAAAAGATCTGCAGGTAGTGTTAGTAAACGCCTAAACTGTCTATAGGGCCTGAAATGGGCCTTCACCCATTAGTAGACAGTGTATGAAGTATGAGTATCAGATTAAGCAACGAAACCCAGGGTGCTGTCAGGGCACTTGTGTTGCCTGATGCACCGAGTTCATTGGGATTGAGAGGACTCTGGAAAGTTCTATTGTTGTCAATGATTAATCAAGCAGCTGACTGATAAGCTTTGTATCTCGGTGTATGGAAGCCCTGTTGTTGAACTGGAAGCAGTACATAACCATTACCTGCTATAGAAATGCCACTATGTTGTCTAATGTCCCAGGTTTGAGGTGGTGATGTAAAATTTGCATGTCATCACCTTGTGAAAATGTTTTATGATGTAATCACACACCCCATACTAAAACACTCGTGTCTGACACTGGTTCCCAAATAAAGCCCATTTTTTATATTTTTGATGGATTTATGAATTAGAATTTTATGATTTTATTTCTCAAAAACATGTCCATAATTCATTCCCTTCTAAATCTACCATGCCTAATGTTTTGCCTCTGAAGGAAAACCAGACAAACCTCACATATTTTGCCTAACTGAAGCTATTTTTCATTGTTGGATCAGGGGCCATGCAGATTTTGAGCCAAGCAGCATTGCCTAGTTTCTCCAAAACAAATAACAGATTATGAAACCAAATATTTTCTTCAAATTCTCTAGAAAATATTACCCATTACCAAATGGCACATATGAATATCTTGCTCACTACTGACTTGGTGATATTGCTTGTTTCCATAAGGCATTTTAGCTCATAGAAGAATAACTAATTGTTTTGTACTGTAATGTGGTTAATGGGGGTAATATTGACTGTGCATCAGTGACAGATGAGACGAAGAAAAATGGCCATCTGGTATGTACTTTAAGTCAATTTCACAGACAGTTGAGAATATATTTTTACATTTTATTCTCTAACCAGTCAACAATGTGGCAAGTTCATTTTATTGACTAGGAAACTACAAGGGCAAGTTTGATGAAGATGAAGCTTAAAAACTGCCCTGTCTCAAAACGGCCTTAAAATTTCACAAAGAACTGCCCTGTCTATGTGGCCTTGTCTCTCTCCATCCAACTGCATCATGACAAATTAACCATTGTTTTAAGGACACAGCACACACAGCTTAGGTTGGGAGCTTGTAAGGAAAAAAAAATGTTTTCGTAGACTTTGCCTGTCCCCAGCTGGGCCAGGAGTACAACAAGAGAGCGTGTATGACTGAATGTCTCAGTACACATCTGGTAATCAGATATGGTAGCTCCACAAGCAGCAGTTATGTACAGATGTCTCCGTTATATACAGATGTCTCGGCTCGGCCTGTCCTCATTCAACTGTGTAACCTAGAAAAGGTGGTCTCATCACGCAGGGTTCACTTCTACTCCACTCTGATTTAGTGTGCCCCTTGAAGGTTACTTTGGGCTCATCCACAGTGACTCTTGTTTACCTCTGTTTTGACCCCTTTTCCAACATTTTTTTTGCGGGGTTGATTGTAATAATGGGTTCACTACCTGTGATCGTGCAAGCAACCATCTCCCCCTTAAGCCTAAAACCGTTTCTTTATTACACCAAATTAATGTGGCTTTTTTTTTTTGCATATTAAATTAAACCAAACAAAAACAGCCCCATTCTTTTTCCAGATTTTTTTTTTTATCTCTGTAGTAGTATTTTGATTATTAGGTCTATACTCTTTATCTTGACATAAATAAGATTCTCTATAGTTTGTATATTTTTATATATACCTACACACCATAACAGCTATATGATGGCATGGCAGTACTTACTGTGATGTTCAGCTCAAAGGCAGATACCAAGTTGTATGTATATATATATTTTTCCAGTGGCCAGTTGTATATAATGTCTACAGTACTTCCCAGTATTCCTGTGCCCCTCCAGGTTAGCCTGTGTTCTGTGTGTAGCAGCAGCTGCTCTTGATATATTGATCCAGCGTGAGTGTGTGGCAGAAGAGTTCATTGGTGACCTACAAGGGGTGACAGCTAAGGAGTAGGAGAAAAGTTTGTTTGTGGACCCCGTGATGTTGTGGATGATGGGAGTTTGTTTTGTTGAGGAGGGATTATTATATTTATCTTGTTAAAGGTTAAGAATTTCCACGATCAATCTGCACATTTTAGGTAAATGAACGAGGCAGAAGTAAGGGAACTTTAATGTTGGGCTTAGCTTAATTTTTGCTGGAAGAGTCTATTTACAGTGCTAATAACAAATATGTGGTTAAAAGAAATGAAAAGATAATATAGTCTCAACCTGTGGCATATTGGTATGTTGAATAATATATAGCTATATGTTATACATGAAAAGAAGTTGGTTATTGATAGATTATAATTTAATGATCTACCTTGTTATTTTTTTACATGAGGCTGGGTATATGCATGTTTGGCGATGGGAAGTAAATGTTTTTTATTTATATCTTTTGTCAATACATGATAGATTTGTTTTTGTTCGAATACCTTTTTCATTTGTGAAAATCTATAAGCTACTTGGCTTAAAAGCAATCTCCGTTACTGATACCCACCCCAGAGGTGAGTTAATCCATTCTTGGATGATTATCTTAAATCGTTACCTCCCAACTAAAATACATTACTATTGGATTTTTTCATTGTCTGTGATTCTATTCTTATATCTTGTTGTCATTTATATGCTCTTTGCCAGTGATATTTTAATTGGTTAAAGGGATAATAACGCAGCCACACCTTTTTTTCAGTATGAGAATGAATCAGCAATATTTATATCTCAATGATTTTTTTTTCTTTAGAAAAAGCAAACATGTTTTTGTGAAGAAATCCGATCCATTGTGATGCAAAAATTGATTTTATTGCATTTTGGCGTGCTTAAATATTTGTTCAGTGTACAAAATCAAGATTGTTAATAATTAAGCAACTCTATTAGAATATAATGATGTTGGCCTTTTTTTTAATCTAATGTGTTGCTGCAAGAGTGTAAAGAAAATATTAACTTTATTGAAAGAAGTGCCTTAAGCTTTTTTCTCATGGCAGAAACATAGCTTAGTGTGAAAATGCAAAAAAAATGAGATTTTTACTGGGATACATATCAAAAAGAAAAAACCTCCAAAGCATTGTGATTGTCTCATCTCTGTATAATTAATACATAATAATTAAAAAGACGGTCATTACCACAACTGGTCACTCATGGTTTGAATAACATATCTGTCCATTAATTTTTTTTTTCTTTGTCATTTTCGATCAATTTCTTAAATTGCCTCCCATGTCCAGAGCTTTAGTTTTAAAATATAATATCAGGGCCTTTTTGAATATATTAATAAAAATAATAATAATAAATAGTAAATTATCTACAGAAAACACAGCTGTTAAGTTGTGGTAGGCCTCCCGGCTTTGCATGATCACAATGCTGAAAAATATAGTGGTCTGTTTCACAACTTGTATGTACAAATAGTATTACTTCAGCTTTTTTTACTGTCTTTAAGATGTTGTAAGGTTTTGATGCACACTTGTTATGACACCATCCAGTTTGCATGCTTCCCTGAGGATACTGCCAACTACATTTACCAAATACTTCCTGTACAACTTGAATTTTATCCTGGATTGATTCCATGAGGTTTTTTTTTCTTCTTTTAATGACAAATACTACCTGCTTGTTAAGTGAATGTTGCTCAAATGTCTAGATAGCATTTTAACATAGAAAAAAATGTTCTTTTTACCCAAACATTAATGCAAATCAATACATTTTACCCAAAATTCATTTATAGAAATAGCTTGGGACTACTTTAAATGAAGCCTACCTAAAGTCTGATTTGTTTGCATTGGGTGTCTAGTTTACACATTAACAGTGAAAAATGTGAGAAAGATTGGGGAGGGATAACCAGCGGCAGGCTAATGCCTCTGTTTGTTACCGTCCCTGACATTTTCCCCCTGCTGAATGTGTGGTTTTCAAAGTTAGTATATAATGTGAGTAGAAAATTGCTACCCTCTACCAGGGTGGCAGATATTACAGGCATATTTTCCACAGTTATAAGGTTGACCATATTTAGTCAGAGACATTGGCTGTGAAAATCTAGTTGAAAAATCAGTCTGTGGCCCTGGTAGAGAGAAGAAAATTGCCAGATCTTAAAATGTATTCGGTTTTGAAGTAGTTATTATACCATAACATTTTAAGTGGCATAAAAGCTCTGATGCTGTCATCTTAAAATGGTCCTATTTGGCACAATAAGTAGACCATTTTAAGGATTTTTATGACTTCAAAACAGGGGCAACATAGACATACAGCATGAAAAGTGTATGGGAGAGTAACTAGATGTAAACAGAATGCCATAATCATTGTAATTTATGCCACTACAGGTGCAACCATGTACAAGAGTTCTGCTTAGTTTTGAATATGTTGGCACAAAGGCACACTGGATGGCTGATTTATTGGAAAGCATGTTGTTGTTTTTTATTGGTACGTGTATAAATCTGTACAGTTGGGTGTTGGTATGTGATAGCAATGCTGATTGAATGTTGTAAATATATGAACTTATTTTAAGAAAAAAATGTTGAAAAACCTGCATTGTTATTTAGCAGTAAGTGGTAATTATATGCAATATTTGGGCTTAAAGATTACAAAAGAACTGGCATTGATCAATTGGTTGATTGATTGAATAATTGATTGATTGATCGATTGGTTGATTGAGTGAATAATTGATTGATTGATTGATTGTGTGTTATAGGTTGAAACTGTAAATGTAGTATGAAATAATAAATACACTGATTAATGAGAGGAAATTCTTGATAAAATAATATGAAATTTGTGTGGTTTCTTATGTTTCTTTTCCTTAATTTTTCTGATAGCATGTAACCATATAAATGGTATCTGATAATCAGCAAGTACAGCAGATATTGGATCTGGAACTTCAGATGTGATTCTGTAATATGCTTACTTTACATGATTGGATGCAAGGAGTTATAGACTTCAGTATTGGATTGGATCTCTTCTTTATCAGACAATGGATCAGACATTGACTTGAGAATTGATCTGCAAATGAAGTCCAGGGGTTTTACTCCTCTTCCTTGATTTCCCCATAGGTACTAATCACATGAATTATTCAACCCACACGGTATAAGAAAAGGGCTTCAAATAATTGAAAGATCTCAAAGCCTCGTCAATAATCTAAGAAACTGCACGTAATTTTCCAGGTGTACTCTGCTCAATTAGGTAATACAGTGTTACGTTTGTTTAGATGGATGACGTGTTTGTGTAATATTTAGAAACCATTTACAATAATTGCTTTGGCTTGTGACTGCCCTTAAATGTTATGAAACTTGTACTGTTCCCTGTGATCAGATGGAAAGTTTAAAAGGTAGTTCTAGCCTGTAGCTAGTCATTTCAAAATGGGGAGTCATTTTCATATCTAAGAAAGCAGGCCCGTAGCCAGGGGGTTCGGGGGGTTAAAAAGAACCACACTTTTTGCTGGGAAAAGGTCCTCTCTGGGTAAAATTTGATCTAGGTACATGAAGTTTAAATGGAAAAGGGTCCACTTTTTCAGAAAAAGAACCCCCCTTTAAAAATTGCTGACTACAGGCCTGGAAAGTGTACCTTTTCACCAAGTATTGAGAAATGAAATGGAAATTAGATCAAATTTTGAGAGTACTGTTTCTCTTCAAAGGGACATTTTTATCAGCCCCCCCCCACCCCCCCCCCCCTCCGTAAATAAAACCAGAAGTTCTTGATAAAACAGTCTAAGGGCCAGTAGTTGTTAAGTGAAAATGCTGATGAATTCCGTACTTTTCTGTGTGCAGTGGCTGTTGATTCCAAAGAAATATTACCATGAAATAGATTTACTGAATCTCTTGATAAAAGGAGAACACAGAAGACACTTGGTAGAAATGTTTAATTTTTGTGTTTTTACATTGTAATTTTATCAACAGTTTTGAATATATTGTCCCTTAGTGATATTAGAAAAAGAGTTGAAATTTCCAGGGATATTGTGATTGACAAACAAGTAATGAGAATGCTTTTGAGGAAAATGTCTGGAAATCGGTACATTTCTTAATTTGCAATCTCTTTATGAAATAGAGCCTTTGACAGTCGGAATGTGTTTGTTGTGGGGTAGACAGAATGTGAGACAGTTTTTGTAAGGCAGTTTAAAGGCACTGTGGCAGATTGGTTGCGTTTTTCATTGTCTTAGTTGAGATTTCTTTTGAATTGTCTAAATTGTCATTTTGAAGTAAACTGTCTGATTCCACTATATTTGCAATGAATTAATTTGTAACCGAAAAAATTCAAGTTTTAATTGTTATAGCTATTTCATCAGTAATTAATATTTTTTGTTGTTACAGTACTGATGTAGGTCATGTCTTTTTTAAACGCCTGTGTATTTATTTCTCTTTTCAGTGTAAAGATTTTGCAGCCTTGGGTGCCTTGCCTGGAGAGACGCCGTGCGATGTTGTGCAATCCTGTGACATTATTTTTTCATCTGTAGCCAATCCTGCAGCTTTAAAAGATGTGAGTTTTTTAGTTATAGGTATAATAATTTTTATGTTGACTTCCAATCTGTATTTGAAGGTTTTATCTATTTTTGTTGCATTTCCATTGTTTTGGCATATACAAGGGCATGAAAATATCTATAGCTTTTCTAATATCTTATCTTAATATTATTTCTGTTATTGGTTAAATTGCATACTCCTTTGTTAACCAGAAAGAAATCTTAACTCTCTTTAATTAACAATTATGCTGCATATTTGTTGTCAAGATCAAAAAGTAAAAGAATATAAATTAAGACCAGACTTTTAATATTCCCTTGTCATTTTTTTCCACGTTCTAGCTTGTCTTTGGCAACTGTGGGGTGCTTCAAGGTATATCACCAGGGAAAAGTTTTGTGGATATGTCTTCAGTGGACGTAGAAACCATAACAGATATCAATGAGGTAATTTCATTCTGTTATTTGGCATAAAAGTTTCAGGGGTGGATCCAGAGATATTTTCTGACAGTCTTCCAAATTATCTTTGTGGATTCATCCTCCATCTTTGACCATCTTGGAATAAAAGTATTAGAATATAAACTTATAAACTTATAAAAATTCAGACTATCTTCCAAAAGACCCAGAAGATGGCTTCTTCCGACCCCGATTTGATAGTATACTGTGCATATTCAATTGCATTATTTAGTTTGATTCTTAAGTTGTGTTGCCTCAATCAGTTTCGTTTAATTTCTATGCAAATGAATTGTTAACTTTTTAACTTTTGTAACTCCCTGTGGGCAACTATGATGTGTGACAACATTATCTAGAACTAGTGTTTGGGATCACAGAGACTTCTAAGACTTCTTAACATTGATCTGTGGATTGGGTATTTAGTAAATCCGTTGTTCTTGTCTCTAGGCAATAACAATGAGAAATGGCAGGTTTCTGGAAGCGCCAGTATTTGGTAGCAAGGAGGCATCTGAGGACGGACAGCTTGTGGTTTTAGCTGCAGGAGACAGGGATCTCTATGATGATTGTTTATCTTGTTTTGAAGCTATTGGAAGAAAAACATACTACTTAGGTAAGTCATAATCTTGGTCTGTAGGTGATAGAAATTTTATAGTTGTTTGTTTCGTTGTATTATTTCATCTCATCTGCCTAAAAATTGAAATGATCAGTTTTTTTTATATTTATGGCCTAAGTGTAACTAATAGTCAGTTTTAAAAGAATTATGTGAATTTTTCTTTTTGTCTCATCCACCCGTATTACACTGGTTTCAGCTTGTAAGTTTTTACCTTTTGGATTTGTTAGTGCTCTAAAATTCATTGTAAAGTAGAAGCATGTGGGAGATAAATACCTTTGGAAGAGGACCTATCTGAATTAACAGTGACTCAGATTGGTTGGCTGATACATTATTTTATTTTATTTATTTATTTATTTATTTATTTATTTATTTATTTAGGTGAAATTGGCAATGGTGCCCGGATGCGTCTGGTCCTCAGTATGGTTCTGGGCACTGTAATAGCTGGTTTGTCCGAAGGCATGGCTCTGGCAGGGAAAGTGGGTCTGCACCAAGAAGACCTCCTAGAAATCCTAAGTCTTAGTTCCCTCAACTGCTCACTGTTCAGAAGTAAAGGTTATGGTAAGTAGGGTAATGTGAAGAATTTGTTTCTTTAAATTTCTTGATGAAAAGTCATTGAAGAGAGAAAAGCAAAGATGGTATATGAAATCTTGTTTTTTTTTTCTCTGTTTTGTTGGGCTCTTATCTGGATAGGCAGAATTTTTAACCAGACAGAGGCGCTGGGGTTTTTTATGCTTTGCAGACTTTTTAGTTAACTTAAACAGAAACTGTGTGAGAATAATCTGGTATATAAAAGAGATATCATTCACAGTTTAACTCATCACATAAAGTTAATTCCCCATTGGTTTTCGATACTGAAATTCTATTTCAGTTGTGTACAAAACATTGTAGAGCTTTTTGTTGGAAATTGGAAATATTTCAGGAAATACTCTCTGAAATAAATTGTAACATGCATTAACCTTGCAGCTATGATGGAGAATTCCTATAACCCAAGAGCTCTTCTCCAAAACCAGCAAAAGGACATGCGACTCTCCCTAAACCTAGGAGACGAGGTGGACCAGCCCCTAGCAGTGGCAGCTGCAGCCAACGAGGTAAGAAGGAAGGGTCCTTGAGGGATATAGGCAGTTTCACAAACCTTTAAAATTGGTCTTGGCGCTACTGGTCTTTGGTCTTAATCATCTAGGTTGCTTTTCAGTAAGAATCTATAAGCCCATACCCCCCTCTCCCCTAATAATATTGTATATAAGATCAGATATATATTTTTGAGCTGTTGGATTGGTGTGTTGGACAGCTGACCAGTTTGAACCATCTATTTAGATTTATTGCAGAAAAAGTAAAATGACTAATGTACATTGATTTTTTTTTTTTTTTTTTTTTACGTCTCTGGGCACCTGAAACTGACTAATTACTGACCTTTTCCTTCCAGATGTACAAGAAAGCCAAAGCAAGAGGTTATGGAACAAGTGATGTGGCAGCAGTGTTCAGAGCAGCAGATATATGAGGGAAACCCCCAAACTTCCATTCTCACTTTCTTTTTCAATGTTCTGGACATGTTATACATGATTGGACTTGTCTGATGCCTGGCCTGACTAATAATAGAGGATGTAGACGAGTTTTATGTTCTACCAGTAAAAGTATCTGGATAGATGGAGCCAGTGGTATCTAGATCTGGTTTTATAGACTTTGTAAAAGCTGCTGCAACAGTTGTGTTTTGCCTGGCTGATCAAATAAGGTGGGGGGGGGGGGGGGGGTAGACTTGGTTTCGTGATATTCAGAAAAGAGCAGGTATAATGGTAACAGTGTTGTAGACCAGTTTTGTTATGGCTGGCTGAGAGTATTATTATAAGTTAGAAAAATTATAGTAGCATTTCTCTCTCCATTTCATCTCGGTATGGCAGATGTATAGTGTGGACAAATCCAGCTTTAGGCTGAGCATACACCACTGCAGGGATGAGATTTTTCCGACTATAGGCGGAGTTCCTTCTTTTTGGAAGCCAAAAATATCACAAAAATATTCCGCCACATCATATTTTCCAACTTTTTCATCCTTGCCCTTGTCTTCATCAGATTTTGTTACTGAACAGTCAAAATTGATTAAAAGTTAAGCTCTTATTGGTTCTCATATGTCATTTGACTGACTTAGTTCCACAAATCCCATAATATTCTTGGTAAAGGATATGGAGGATTCTGTTGACTAGAGCAGACTGAAAAAACCATCAATGAAATATTTTATTTTGATTCTGAATCCTATCTGAATATGGTGAGTAGAGAAGTGTTAAATGTGAAAATATTTCAAGTAGCTGGTATAAGTCCATGATGAATCCTGAGCAATTAATATAGTAATTTTTAAACAAGCTTAATGTTTGCTAAACGTATCTGAACTACATGAAAATGGACTGCATTATTTGAAGGCGGTGAGTCAATTTCTAATGGGTCACAAGCTAAGTTTTCATGAATACTTTTTAATAATTGCTCCCTTATTGTTATTATTCTGATATAAGTCAAACCAATTCTGTTATTTTTTTATTATTTTTTCTGTAAGAATCACGTAGGAAGGTTTGGTCTCAGTCAGATCACATTTTATGGATATTTTAACTATGAACTAACAGATGGATTCAGCATTTTTATCAATAAGAAGTATATTATACTATTTTTATGTTGTACAGTAGGAGACATTTTAGTAATGAATTGTTATGTTTGTGTATAGAACACCAGTTGAGAAGACTAAATAGCCCTGACAGTTATACTGAGAAATAAATACCAATTTATAAGTATAAAATATTCCCTGAAGTTAGGGATGATGAATAACTGTACTGATGTATTATGTAAATATTAGTTAAGTGTAACACAAACTTTAAGGCATGCTTCCTGTAGATTTAGAGTCAGTACCTCTAAATAAATCTTGCACAAAAAATGAAACTGTCAGTTTATTGCAGTCAAGTATTATAACTGTATAGTTTGTCTAATTGATTACCCCAGGCTGCAATGATGATTCAATTAAATAAATAAATAAATAAATAAATAATTAGAACTGTAAATGAGTTGTTTGTGTCATAGCTTGGCAATTAATTGATATGTTACATAGATGATGTTCACATGGTCTAATTTTGATATGTGAATTGTACGTGACTGAAAAATGAGGAGAAAACATTTAAATTTTAAATTTGAGCCAAATTTAAGACTAAACTTGAAAATTATTATTTTAACAATGTTCACTTTTTATCATTTTCCCCCAAATAACAAGGTAAACAGAGGTGAAAGTTTATATATAAATAGAATTTATTGCAACTCAAAAATAATTAACAATGCTTTATGACTAACAAAATCTTTACTCTCATGAAACAATCTCTTGATTTCCATATAAAATATTGAGAAGAGATACAAGAAAAAGTTGTCTTGAATATAAATATAATTTTAGTTTTACTTTTAAAAAAAAGTAAAATTTGCATATATACTTACATAGATGCCTCTTGATATATACTTTGAGTAAAGCAGTAAAAATTCAATACAAAACAAGATCACTTCTAATTCAATAAGAAAATAATCTTCCTATATATATATGAAATATTCTTAAAAATTGTGGACGGACTTATTTGCTATGGCACAGTATATGGCAAAATATTATTTAAATAAGGACGGACTAAGTAAAATGACTAAAAGCTTATCTTACATGCCCATACATGTGGACATTTTTCCTTTAATCTTTAGAACTGGTATCAATCCTAATTAATGTTTCTCAAAAATGACACATTGGCAGGTAGTAGTTATCACCAGTTTTCAGCCAAAATACTTTTTTTGCCAAAAAGTTATAACACAACTATAAAAATATTCAAAAATGAAAATAAAACTCAATAGCCAGAAGCTTGAAATTAAAAATAATGCGCTAGGATCCAACCTTAGGGAGAGACCCCCCCCCCCCCCCACCACCACCACAAAAAAAAAACTTATTAAAAATAGAAAACAAAGCAATGAACAGCATCACTGGAACAGAATTCTACTAAAAGGTGAAGTTTGCAACATTGTTGAAGTTTACAATTTGCCAATGTTTAGTATTGAATTCCACTTTCGCTGTCACCTGTGCTTATTGTTTCTCTGTGGTATTTTACCCATTCTTCAGGGGGGGATTGAAATGGCGATCTCTCCGCCGAACTTCTTCTTTTCCTTTTGTGACTTTGATAATGTTGCTTTCTTTTTCTGCGAAAAAAGTCACTGTCTTCCAGGGATGGTATATACGAAAATGGTGTTCCCTGAAATAATACAGTTAATGTATGGCATAAAATCGCAGAATAAATAAAATAATTAATTGATTTGCCCTTCATCATAAACTTTTTTGACAAATAGGCAAGAACCTGTATCAAAAATCACATTGTCCTCATTCAGAGCAGTTTTGATTAAAATTGTTCAGTTCTGTTCTGTGTACTCACGTTATTCATTGAAGCTTCCAAGTTGGTTTGAGTAGAGCTGAGATTACTAGGGGATTTTGGCTGTTTAGGTGTGTTGTGGACTTCTGATACAGAATCCTGAATAAAAATTTAAAAAAAACACTTTAACCACAGTAATAATGATGAAGATCTTCTAAGTGAGCATACTTTGGTTAATTTAGTTATATAATACAGTAATTTTACATTGCTAGTAATATTTCATATCCCAAAAATGTTTTTTTTTTTAAATCTATTACAGGTTTTTTTTTTTGCTCGCTGAATGAAATTTAAACAGGGTATTTTTCTTTCAAAATGTGCTTGCATCAATCATACTGCAGCAAAAATTAAGAACAAAGATGTTCTGAAAATCAGGAAAACTACCTGACCGAATTCCTGAAAACCACTGTGTTTTCCCATCTTTTTCCAGTTTTCCTTGTATCTGTGGGTAAATGTTCTTGGCTCGTCATCCTCTGTGGGGCTGCTAATCCTTTCTGTCTGTCTGTTTTGTGCCCTATCTTGTAGCCTGTCATGTCTTTTGAGATTGGAGGGACTCAATCTTGACACAGAGGGGTCTCTTTCATTCATTGATGGGCCCTTTCTGTCACTTATAAGCCTTTTCACATAAGTTTGGCCGTCTCTCGACACAGACGAATCTTCAAAACTGGTTACAGCAAAATGTGCTTTAGGACCTTTGTTATATTTCCTTGGAGATATTGGCCTTGTTCTTGATACAGGTGCTTCTTGAATGTCTATCAAATCTTGAGGCATTGTTGGTGGACTTTGTCCAACTTTATTGCGTTTTCTCGCACTGACTGGATAAGGTATTGACTCGGGAATGTAGTAAGATGCTGTGGCACCTCCTGGACTTTGCCCTCTGTTTTGATATTGTTGTTGAACAAATGGACTGCCATTTGAAAGGGGTGATTCTCTTAAGGGGAACATATTGCCATTGCTTAACACAGACTTCTGTCTGCCATTCTTAAGGTCATTTCTGTCATATGCTGCTGGTATGGTCTCTTCTTCGGCGCCATAGTAATATGTACCATTAATTTCCCTATGGGCATCTGGCACTCCATTACCAATGAAAGTCTTTGGATTAATTTTCTTTTCCTTTCTCATGAAAGAAAATATTTTATTTTTCTTCACTGAAGATTTCTTGTCCTTCCAGTTAAACCTATCTATTATTCTTGTTGGAAAAGTTTTGATGTATTTCTTCTGTTGTGGAGTTAGGCGAGTTTTGGGGGAATGAATACTGCGCATGATGGGTAATTGGCTTGCAACAGATGTTTTGTCATTACTACTTGGATGAAAACTGCTTGTAGACACAGAAACACTTTCCTGGTCATATGCGCTGAATTCAGTACTGGACAAGCAAGACTGATTCTCTGACATCCGACTGCGCTCTGCAAACACTGCTATCAGGATGACGACGCAAAGAACTGCTAGGCTACTGCATCCTGCTATCAATAGAATCTCCCAGTGGATCAGGACTGAAATAAGTTAAATACATTAAAATAAATACATAGATATCATGTGAAAAGGGTGATTGTTCATTGCTCTTTCATTTGTGTTATATCATTCCCTTGATTGTTTCATCAGTTCCACTAGTCAATTCTAACTAATTCTTAATAAATGCATTCAGTGGAATATAGTTGTGTCTAATATACTTTTTTTGCACAATGAATCTGTGGGATATGAAAAAGTAACAATCACATTTGATGTTAATATTAATTATTTAAAATGTATTTGCTATAATTTTTTACCTTTAGTGTCACATTGGTCTCCCACAAAACCCTCATTGCACCTGAATTTTTTTAAAATATCAAATGACTAAAGCACTTGGGAATTTCCAATAAACAGATCATTGCTGAATTTACAGAAATAATTAACAAGACAGCACTGCATATTGCACTCATTTAAGGTTAAGAATATAAAAAGCGATCTAACAAATGCTAATTTTCAATCTGATATTTTTCTATGTTGCACCATGGCCTGACACCATTATATTTAGATCAGCTGAGGAGATATAAATCTTGAAAGGATGACTAGAAAAAGCTTGGCTTACTGGCATGACAACAAGTTCCCTCCATTTTCTTGACATTTTCCATTGTTGCTGCAGCTGGTGCTTTCACAAATTTCTGGAAACACATTCAATTTAAAATTTACTTATAACGAACATTTTGGCTCCAAATATTTTATTTTATCAATTATTTATATTCCTACTTAAGTTGTATTACCATCATGATCCTATACATGAAAGCAACTAAAAGAAATTATGTATTAGCTGTAATAATTTCTGTAACTAGTCGGGAATTCATTTAGGGCTGTTTCAAGAAGTAAAATGTGGACTCTTTAGAAATAAACTACATAGACGAGAAGGATTTTTCACTAATTTTTTTTTTTTGAATACAGAAAAACAAAGACCAGACTGAGACTCATTATACAGATATGTGTATGGTAATANACTTACCTGTACATTTTCTTCCTGGTGATGTGACATTGTCATCTCTAAATCCCTCACTGCACTGACATTGGTAAGAACCAAATGTATTGATGCATGACCCCAATGTTGAGCAGTCATTGGTGTCAGCAGTTTGGCACTCATTGTAATCTGAAAATGAATTTTTGAACATATTTTCTATATATTTCTCAAGAAAGTTTAAGCTGGTATCATATTTTATCTTAAAATTACATACAAAATAATTGTCTTAACTGGAGTGCACAGTTGTAGAATGCAGTACTCGACCAAGGCAAAATGTAAATAATAAAATTATTTATAAAATACTGGGAGACTCAGGTTTGATTAAAAATGTAGTCACTTTTTTTCTTTCCTGACTACTGTTTTTCAATGTTGTCACTTTTTTCTTTCCTGAATAC